CATCTATCTAAAGATATACTGAAATGTACGGGGAACTTAAGACAGTGAAATACGATCTAAACAGAAGTTTGGAACTGAGGCAATATATTAGACAGGGCAGCCCAAATTTGAGGCAAAAAAATGTGTATGTGCCACCTTCTATTCTGTATATTCCTTATAACTGGAAGTACTTCAGAGCTTTTTGCAGAACTGTTCATATTATTACACATACCAGTTCAATCGGATTCATTCATCTGATTATCTGTAGATAGGTGGAGAAATGTAGGGGAAGTGTGTTTGGTGTGCTTGGTGTAAAAGGATTTTCATTTGGTTGAGATCATCGCCTGTGTGACAAGTATGTCTGTACCACAGCCCACACATGCATTCATGTACATTTTTATATATGCGTGAGTGGCAGGGCTCATCAGAATTGGGAAGGTAAAGTGCTTGTGCTTATATAATGGTTGTATTTAGACATTTTCATACATTCTGAGGGTGTAATATACCTATTACAAACTTTATACCAATACTCACATCTTCAGTTATGACTAATTATTTTTTTTCAAGAGCATAATGAGTTATGAGCCTTGTAATAAGTTTCTTCTTACTCTGTTAATATGTAAACGTTAATATAATATTGGCCCAGTCAGAAGGGTTTTTTTGGTCCCTCTGAGATGCATTGAAAATTTTGGGCAGTACTAAGTTGTGTGTTACAGGTGTTCCTTATAATCCGAGGGTTGAAGTGTATCAGCAGAAGGAGACATACTATAGAGTATGTACTTTGAATAACCTACAAGACCTTCGTAGTTACCACATACAATCCGTGTTATTCTGTCTCCTCTGCGTAAGGGTGATTTGAATCACAAACAAGAGTAGAAAAGTTTTCATTAGGTTTCTATTGTGTATACACTGAGTGTTCTTGTGGTAGAGAACATCTGTGCTAGTAGAGGTGTGCTGTGCCAATTTCACCATCTTAAGATAAGAACCTGAACTTTGGTACAGGATCCTACAGACACGTCAGTAAAATGGCATTCCATTCAGTGAACATTGGCAATTTCAGTGAGGAATAGTTTCTAGAGTTTCTTTTGTACCTTAGGCTGAAGTGCCAAGAAGAATTCCTTAAGATGCCAAATG